GTAGGGAAACGTCCCACAGAGAACTCTCACAGGAGTGTGCTGAACTGATTGGTTTTGTGTGATTGCTTCCATCGGGGGTGGGCTTTTCTGCTTTTCATCTCTTGGTTTGTGGGGTTGGGATTTTTGAGTATTAGAATGAAGAGTTTTGTTAGAGTGTATATTTTGTGCTTGAGAATCACACGGGTAAGAAAACCCAACATTGTTATAACATTGAATATATTTTCTTGGACTGTGGAGTAGGATCCCTCCCCTCCAAAGATTGACATTTTAAATTTGGACACGATAACTCAGCTGGTTCCTGACCCTCCTTCCCCTGCTGCTCAGCAAAACCCAGCAGAGTGACAGCTGCAAGTTCCAGAAGAGTTCGTCTCCCCTCGTGGGACTGCCAAAAGCAGTAATGAGATGAATACCTGTCCCTGAGCTACGTCCCAGTGTTAGGTTCGCGGTTGGAAGGACCAGCTGTGGGGCATAGGTCCTCGAAAGGGATCGGTGCAGGGGTTATAAGTACTCCTTGGCCAGGAGGCCCCGCCTACGCTGTCTTTTTTCTAGAGAACTGAAATCATGTTCAGGAAAGAGCACAGCTTGGACAAACTGGAGAGATGGGTGGTCAAGAGAGGACCGAACCCACGGGAGCTGGGCTCCTTCAGAGTCACTGACTTCCTGCAAACACCGTGTGATGCTTTCCAGGTGCAGTGTGAATCCAGAAAGTTGTGAGGCTCCAAGAAGGATGCCTTCGTGGCTTGGGGTTTGTGGGCTGCACTGAATTACAATGTGAGCCTTGTTAGGGAAGCCAATGAAAAGCTTGAGCTTCAGGCTCAAGAGTTAGAGAACCTACAGGCTGAGAAGTATGATCTGCTTGTAGACAAAGGCAGTATTGCAACTGCTGCCCAGAACACAAAGGTGAAATTAGAGGAAGCAGTAACTAGAGCAGAAGCCGCTGAACAGAAAGTTGCTCTTTTGGAAAAACAGCTTGGCCAAGCCCAGCAAGCTGCCCAATATTTGGCAAATCAAGCCAAGATTCAGTGCACTGAGGTCAGAGACGTGCCAGAAGGAAATTGGATCCCTAAACCAGCAGTTGGGACTCCAAAGAGCTCTGATTGCATCTGTACACCCAGAAACGCTCATTCATCTCCCAGATCAAAGAGCTTCCGAGGCTCTGCCGGAAGATGCCATCTCCAAAACTCCTTACAATCCTGACTGGGACAATCCTGTTCCTGTGAACCCAGTCAATGTAAAAATAATGGACAAGCGCTGTCCCAATGGATGCACTGAGCATTCTGAGACCCAAGAAAGAGTTGCCGACCAGTTAGGACCTTTTAATGAGGACACTGGAATACCTTGGCTCACCACTGTTTCTACTCTGCACTCCCAATGCCCATGGGAGTGACCTAACCCAGTTAGCACGACTTTGTGCCTCTGGAATAGACGCCCCCGCCATTGAGTTAGGGATAGCAACTCGAAACCTAACCTCCCTAAATATGTTTCTTTTTTTCCCCGAAAAATTTTATTGTCAGGATATCACATCATTCCAACATTATCACATATTTGATACTTTCATACCCTTTTCCCTACTCCCCCCCCCTTCTACTGGCTTCCCGCAGTGCTCCCACCTTCCTTCCTTATTCTAAATTTTGTAAATTTCCTTTTCTTATCACACCTTCTAAAGTTAAATTTTACTAGGTAACATTCACATAAACTGTTGTCTCTATATATCAACTATTTCGGAATTTTTGCATTCTTAATAGTTGTCAAAACCAAATAAAGTATTCTTCACGTCCCAGTACTTTCCCAAATATTCCTTAAAGTCCTTCCAGTCTTCAAATAATTCCTCCACTTCTTGATTGTTAAGTTTTCTAGTCAATTTATCCATTTCAACCATAAAAAGTAACTTTTTTATCCATTCCCAAATCTCAGGAGTCCTTTCTTGCTTCCAACATTGGGCATAAGTCATTCTAGTTGATGTGATCAAGTACCATATCAAAGTCCTCTTTCTTATATTCACCTCTTCCATCTTTAGTCCCAAAAGTAAAATTTCTGGTTCTTTTTTAAAATTACATTTCAGAATCTTCTCCATTTCTTTATGAATCTCTGTCCAAAAGTTTTTTGTTTTATCACATGTCCACCACATATGGTAAAATGACCCTTCTGTTTTCTTACATTTCCAACATTTGCTAGACATGTT